TTATACTGAGTTATAGGTCTTTAATATGCCAGGAGGTACTGTTGAAGGGACGTTAGATAGCAACAATTGTTTATGCTGACAATACTCAACGTTTCAATCCGTGAATTAGATCACTCGTCATCATAAGCAGAGCCTGAAATGTTCAGTACTGCCAATGCAGCCAAGTTTGGTCCATAACATCATTTGGTTCTGCTGTATTGGAGGTTGATTACTCAGCAAAAGAACGTTTTCTTTCTTAACGAGACACAAATTTTCGGCATTGTGGAGGTTGAGGTTGAGGTTGTGAGATTATCAGCTTTGTTTGTTGTCTTAGAAAAGCAGTCGAGAAGGTGTGCTAGAATGTACCCAACATCTTCTAGTCATACTGAATCTAATTCCAACCGCGTTTTACAACATGCCATGCTCTCCAAGCGAAATGCTTTGTGTTGGGACGTCTTTTTAGATTGATCTCCGGCATTACGGTCGCAGAACTACATCTGCAGCCAGCTGGTGCACGGAGTAGTCAGAATAGACATCGTTGGATTTTTGTCTTCGACGCATAACCGCCTCTTAGTCGTAGCGCCAGTCGAACTCCAGAGACCAAATGTGTCATGGTGTCCACTCCAGCACTCACCTGCTTGCCTCGCGCGCGAGTGAAAATTGTTTACGCCTATCGAGACCTAATCACCTAAACGAAGAAAGAACTGAAGCAAGCCAGAGCCTGTTTTTATCACAGATGTCTCACTTACAATTAACAATCCTCCATTCACCTCACGCTTCTGTGATCACTGTATGCCCGAACGGCTACGCTAAGTGAGTTGGGCACACTTTTCTCACGCGGAGAGGTGAGACTCTGGGATCGTCAACTTTTTTCACTCCGCTGTGAAATACACCGCATTCAGACCGTCTGATTATTCAGCCAAAGAAAAGAACAGCTGCCATCGACAAAATACGAAGCGCTCTCGTTTTTAGGTAAAAGGAAAACTTAAATGTTTTAAGGGCATTGATTAAAGTCGATATACCTTATAGGGTGCATGCCATTTTTGAGATCAAAGCACGGAATAACTGAATACTTGTATATGCACGCGCACACACACACACACACACACACACACACACACACACACACACACACACACACACACACACACACACACACACACACACACACACACACACACACACACACACACACACACACACACACACACACACACACACACACACACACACACACACACACACACACACACGCATACATATGTATATATATATATATATATATATATATATATATATATATATATATATATATATATATATATATATATATATGCAAACAAGTACAGACCGACGCATTCCGGGTAATTCACTATTCCCTCACCTTCGTCGACGTGAAAATGGGTGTTACGATGAACTGTCATCAAAGAAGGCTAAAAGCACCTGGAGGCAATGGCTGCAGACCTCAAATCTTCACCACAACTGTGAAATAAGAAAACATCTCAAAAAGCTGGCCAACGTACTCATCATTAACCCAAAAATAGGACGCAGTCTACGTTCGTCTTCGTAGGCGTGCGTCACCGTGTACAACGCACCTTTGACCGCATTCTACTCGATGCTAAGGCCAGGTCATCCACGCCCGATGCACTCCTGTACCGTTCCAGTGAAGCGCCCGCGAGCCGTCGGTCGGCCGGTGCCGCGCCCGGGGCGTTACTCGTACCGGTCCGCGTCACGCGCCGTCGCAGCCCGCCAGCTCATGCCGACAGTCACGCTTCATATCATGCCAGCCCCTGTTCCGTATGCGTCGAAGAGTTTCGGCCAGCAGCTGCATCATGTTTGGGCATACTTTTCAGGTTAATGGTAGCTGTCCGAGCATTGAGCTCCGACAAAAGACTGATAATGTAGTGGAAGTGGCTACATGCACACAACGCTACTAAACTAACCTTGGTCTTCTGACGCTGAATAAGTGTTTAGAAGACACACTTTCTTAAAATGATTAGATTAATATACATACATACATACATACATATATATATATATATATATATATATATATATATATATATATATGTATATATATATATGTGTGTGTGTGTGTGTGTTGTGTAAATGGCTATTATTTAAACAAGATGTCACAGCTGAAGTCCTATGGGCGCCACATAAACAACGCAGTCGGCGCGCCCCAAAAACCAAATCATTATCTCGATCATTGCCCATCGATATCCTTTGTCCGTACCTTCGGGGCGCTGAATTATGAAGTCCGTTTCGTTAGGTAAGCTGCATCAGTTTTTCCGGAAAGGATATTTGCCTCCGTCCGCTGGGGAAGCGGATGCGACCATCACCATGGTGGAATTTTTGTAAGGTTCCATAATAACTCGTTTGTTTCCGACGACATTCTTCCTGGGAAAGCTTTGTTCCTGCCCCACGTGTCATTGTGTGGCTGAACATCAAGCTACTAAACATGCCAAGCTTGTCAACGGCATGGTGCATGGCGATCAGGCAATAAATAGGTTTTGAGGTGCATTCTATAGAATGATGCTGTTCCCGAATGCAAAGCTCACAGGCACTGCAAAATCGTTAGTTATGTTTGCGGCGGAATGTTTAGTAGAGGGTGTTCCTCACTGGTCCATGAGCTCCAAGACGTGGAAATGCTCAGCACCAGCAGCGTCAGGGCGCTGGATTCAGCAACTCATGGAAACTTCAAACGGGGAAAATGGAAAACAGCTCCACTGACCAGCATGGTGCATACATGGCACTCGTAGGCTGTGCTTAAATTCCGTGTTCCTTCGCACTGGTGGTGCTATGTTTCGGTCCTGGAATCTGAGCTGTTATCGGAAGGCGAATGGTGTTGAGCTCTAATCCGGGGCATTCGGTGGATGATTTTGTGGGAATCCGATCCAGTCATTTTCCAGTGCTCTAGGCCCTGAGTCTGAGATGGATGATTTAAAGGTCGTCTTTCGATAGCTCTCAGGGCGCTTAACATAAAAGCTGGCTTGCTTTTCCTTTTGAACGTTTCTATTCAGGCTCTGGCTTCATCACACAGCTTGACGCCTGAACAGGAATAAGTGGGGCATGCTCACTAATGTGCGCAGAAGGGCACTGGTTTATTTCGGCCTCGAAGACATACCCTGATTCTTTGTGCTATTAATCACGCAGAGACAACAATTCAGGCATGTTTTCTTCCTCTGGCTCATAATGAATCAGATGTTGAGGTGGGCTGGCTTTCGTTGTTTAGATATTTTGCATATCCGCATTACATTCGGCCTGCGATGATATACCTTCGTTGCGGCTACTCATATTGCGTTCAATGCGGATGAACGTCAGTAATGAGGGGATGCGTTATTTCGCGGGTCGTTCAATGACTTCAGTTCGAGCTTTCGTTGAGATACATTTAAAATGTGATACTCAAGGGTAGCCGAGCTTTCAGGCAGCACCAAGGTCAGGCCGCCGTGTATCCTTCCTCAGACAAATAACGTTATCGTTCGGCAACTGCTGCCTGAACACTATCCCCCTCTTCGTTACCAAGCAATTAGTGCAGAACTGATTGTGCGGTGGTCACCATCCCTTTAGAGTAACAGCATATTACATGGTGACTATCGTGGCATATTGGTGATGCTGCGTGGTCCAATCCAGAGAAGGTTTGAATTCTCTTCTCCAGATCTCCACTCTGATCCAGACTGATGCACACTTGAATACACCCCAACGCTAATGCAACATCCCTGCATCTTAGTGGTTTGTGCGGGCCATAACAGCGTATGACCAGTTCTCGGGTACTTCTAACAAAGGCTCATGGTGTGACAAAATGCATCAACCTTCGCCGTCCGAAAGCTGATACGTCAGTTTACCAATACACTGAGTTGACTCCCGGCTGCCGGCAGCGCGGCGGTCAAACGTGCGCGTCTGGAGAGCTAGAGATACGAGCTTTGATTTTCCGCGTGCTCTCCCTTCAGGATGAGAGGCAGACGACGCCATATTGGCTCAACCGCTGAGTGCGCCAAAGAGACCCAATGACGGCAATGAGTCTATTCTGACTCTGACCAAAAAACAGCTGTTCGGGTTTCAGGGGCGGCCACAGGGTAGATGCACTGTTTCAGTACGTACAAGCTACGTGTCATGGCCGCGTTCGTATTTAACCAGCTGTTCTTTTAGGTGCTGTTCGCACTAACCACTTTCCCTAATCGCGCTGACCGCCCTTTCTACGGCGTTGAAGGGTAAAAGACACTCTATAGCCTCAGCTGTTGAGTGCGTGGAGTCGACTCTGACTGTGGCTAAAAGGAATCTTGCCTAAGTTGAGAGGCGGCCACTGACACGATGGCTACAACTGCTTCTGTTCTCCGTGGCTTACACACATACACACACAAGAGTACAGACACACACACACACACACACACACACACACACACACATATATATATATATATATATATATATATATATATATATGTATGAGTGTCGTAGACCACAGCCTGACTCCGGGTACTCTGGTTGATTCAACGCTGCACCGGACAAATCGCGGCTGACTCCATAGCCAAGTCTAAGTCAGGGTCAGATTCAAGCAAAGCCTGACATCTTCACATTTGGTGGCGATAATTACACACACCGTAATGCGAGACGGTGCGGTTTTCTTTTCCCGTTTGGACTAGACCCTTTCTATTCGGTGCGTGGGAGCATGATGCGCCTGAGATCTCTCTGTGAAGGGAGATAAAATATGACGCGATGACAGCCGGCTTCCTGCTGTCACTCGGCCGGGCCGTCACGGGAGGCCAGCCCGCGCCACCGCGCGCCAGTGCACGGGTAATGACTGCTCTGGACCCAGCAGAACGCGCTGCTCTCCTCTCGGCGAGCTCTGCTCGAAAATTAGAGCGAGTCAGACTGCAGCATCGGCGACCGCTAGCCGGAAATAAGTGGTTTCCACGGCGTATCCTGTCCGTTTTTATCCCATGCCCGTCGTGCCCAGCTTCCTCCCCGGCCGCGTGACCAGCTCTGTGCTCGTGTTTGTACGGGCCGTTGCTGTTTTCCAGAGCCGAGTCATGTCAACGGCCGTCGCTCTGATGCTGGTGGCGATGTGTCGGCTGGCCGGGGCGGAGCCAGGCGCCAGCGCCGGCTTCGTACCGAACCGCTTCGGCGCCGCCACCGCCACCGACATCAACGCCATTTACACGGGTGAACCGTCCAGCTACGTGTCCTACAAGACATCCAGCGGGCTCACCGTCTATCCTGCCTACAACGTGACGCAGGTCAAGTCGAAGCACGACAGGCAAGGAGTGCTGCTAGCCACGGAGAGTCCCGCCGACTTCGCCTACTCAGAGAACAAGGCAGCATACAGCTTCCCCGAGTACCCGCAGGAGGACTTTGCTGCCTACTCGCCGGAGGAGCTGCACCGACTGCAGACCAAGTGTTATCAGTTCCACTACCACTACGGCCCGCTGTACGACGTCAGCCAGGCGGTGAACAGCGCAGCCTCGGGCCTGCGCCGCACCGTCCAGCAGACAGCCCACAACACGGCGCGCAAGTTCTACACCTCGACCAACCGGCTGACGCACGCCCTGCACGGATCCGTCAACGGGTTCGCGCGCTTCATGCGCTCGTTCGGTGGCAAGGTGCTGCTGATCGTGGTCGGTACGGGCGCGGCGCTGCTGGTCGTCTCGCTCCTGCAGATCTTCTTCACGGTGGCGTCCGGCGGCCAGGGTCTGTTCGGCCGCGCCGCCGCCGACGCCATCGCCAGAGTTTCGGCGTGGGCGGCAGCGCGAAGCCGCAGTCAACGCTCCGCGCAAGGTGCGCCGCCGCTCGCCGAGAGGTTTTACTGCACCACCAAGGACAAAACGTAGCAGGTGGAGGCCGGACATTACAGTTTCACCGGCTTTCATCGCGCTGCGCTTTCTCTTTGGTCCACAACGTAATTTTCCACTAACCTCTGCATGCCATTTTTTATCGCCCAGCCTGCCAGCACGGACGGCGCGGTTCCCGCCATCCACTCGCCGTCGAACACCGCAGTGTAAGCTTTTCACCGGTGTCAATGCCACATACACTCCTCGGCATAAAGGCGCTCTCAAGCGCGACGCGGCTGGCGCCTTCAAACGTTACGGCGATCGCGTCCGACCAAAGCTGACGGCGGCGCGCCTCCGCGCCGGTCCAAAGTCCAGTTGGCGGACCGTTATGCCGACCCGGTCTTGGTGGGGGCGGGCGCGCTCCTAGCGCCGCCCGTCCCACTTATGCTGGCCGAAAGAGGACGAGGGTGTTGACACACTTTTGTGTTGAGCTCCCTCGCGCCATAGTAGGACTAGGCACCCTTGCACTGGCCTGAAGCGTGAAGGGCTCCGGGCCCAATTAAAAGCCAATCGTTTGATAACTGGGGCATTGTTGGAGGTTATTAACCAGTCCAGCAAAGCTAAACCAGGCGGAATAATTTCCGAAAAAATTTGGTCAGCCCGTTGTCTTAACGGATACTTGGAGGGAGCCGCCGTGAATGGTGCTAAAAGCCAAGTTCCTGCCCGCTGGACAGCGCGCTCGCTGTGGTATGTTGACATAAAGGTGCAGCGCGCTCAACAAACACGTGGCTTCGGGAAAAAGCATTAAAACGCGCCGTGAAACGTCGATTGTGTGCCCCCACGGTTGACAGGCCAAGAAGGTCCGTGTTCCGCCCTACGGTGCTGTTCAAGTGAGCGTAAGTCGATCACGCCCGCTAGTTCCACCAAGCCCGCCGCTCCGCTCGACTTTCTCCCGACCAACAGTATACAGCGGGGTGGTGCGGCATGATCAGGCACTTTGCTCCAAAGCTGCTCAGTGGCCGCTAAATACCACAAAGGCCCCTGTGTGGTAGGTGGGTCATGGAAAGTGGAGCAGTGTGAAACGCCCGGAGAGACGCGCACGGGCTTCGGGAGCACGACTGAAGCCATGGGCTCACATTCGCGAAGCGATGAACGTGGTTCACGTCCAGGCGTCGTGCGTACGCATTCGTTAAAACACACGTGGCGTTATTTTGTTTGTTTCTTTTTCGTTCTTGCTGCATGTGTGCACTCTTCTAAGGTTCTTGACACATACGGCACTGAACACTAAGTGTCGGGTGTGTTCTGTCCTTTAGCTTCGATGTCTAATAGTCTAATCTTGACAGTCATGCGCACAGACGCGGATTATTTCACGTTGCGCGTCGACCGCCTGACATGCTCTTCCCCCCGCCACACACGGAGTGCTCTGACCGCGCCTCCTCTCCGCAGCATACGACGCCATCAACGTGCTGTACATGCTGGAGGAAGCATTCCGCAAGATGGAGGTGCACGACTACGAGTGCCAGCAGCGGCTGATGTGTGAGGCGCACGAGGCCGGCGCCGTCGACAAGTACGGCCAGGTGGCCGCCCGGCTGCAGAAGATCATCGGGTAAGACGCCCGTCACTCCTGCCAGCGCCCCCCCCCCCCCCCCCCACCCCCACCCCCTCCCCCTCCCCCACCTCCCCGGAGAAGATCATCTGCAGGTCACGGACGACATTGGAGTTCGTGGAGGCTCCAGAGTGGTGTCCCATGCCAGAATGGTGAGCCATGAGCTCTGCGCGTAAGGTTCATCAGCTCAGTCAGCATAACATCTCAATGATGGGAAGAGACAGCAGCGCTATTTAAACCTTTTCAAACCGATTCCTTACCGTGCAGTGTCACACAGCTAGCGTTAAAATTTCGGTGAACCGTCTCCCTGCCCTTGCTCCTCTCTCGTCTCCCGCGGCACTTCAAAGCTGTTGTTGGGACGCGAGACGTTGCCTGTAGCGCCGCTTTCTGGACCGAGCGGCGTCATCGGAGGCGGCTCCGGTCGGCTCCCAGGACCAGCCTGCCGGCTGGTGCCGCCGCGGTGTCTGCCGTTTTCTCCAGAGCCGCACAATGGGACTCGAGGCGTCACCTGGGCGGCGTGCCCCGCCGCTGGAGACGGCCGCAGGCGCCAGACGCCGCGGCGGGCGCGGCCGGCGGAGGCCCAGCGGCGGCGGCGGCGGGCCGCGAGACGGCGGAGGCCCCCCGCCGCTGGAGACAGCCGTAGGCGCCAGACGCCGCGGCGGGCGCGGCCGGCGGAGGCCCAGCGGCGGTGGCGGCGGGCCACGAGACGGCGTCGGCCCCCGCCGCTCGTGGTCTTATCCCATAAACTCAGCACATTCCGTTTTTATTAGACACAGTGGCTCAATTTCACATTACAGATAGATGTAAGACACAATAAATTGTCTTTGCATCCCCATTTCTTGTTACCAATGCAACACTGATTGCTGCAAAAAAAAAAACTCCTTAGGAAAACGTTCCAAAGTGTCAAAAACTACATCATACTAGCCTATCTTTACCACGATTTCGAATAACAGGAAACCATTATTCTCATCCCGATCATAGTGAGGTGTAGATACTGTGGAGGGTCTTGGAATGTCGTGAGACCATATCTCTCGAGTACAGACGCATGTGAGCCACTTAACACGAAAGTCATTCGAGTGAAATTGGAAGCCAAATTCAATTAGCCCGGCTGGTGTACATTTTGAGAGAAAACTACAGAAGACGAATTTCAATTAGTCCCAGCCTGCCAGAGACTTTCCACACGCGTCGCACCAGCCGACTCTCAGCAAGCAGAGGCCACTCTCTGCAGGGTGGCGCCGCTGGTCTCGGCTCCGCCAGCACACCATCAGAGCGAAAGCAGCGCTGCGGCGCACAGCAATCAAATCACGCTGGAACGCGCGGCCTGGCTCCTCACAGCTTGGGCAGCGCACGGGGCGCCCTCGCGAACAATGCGGCGCACGTCGACCGCCTGGCACGCTCCCAGGCGAGCAGCGGCAGGGATTAGAAACAGCTGTGTGGCGTGGGAGCTGCTGGCCGGCGAAAGCGTTCCGCTTCCGTCCCGGAGATTGTCCGGTCCGTCTTGTCTGCTGTCCGGTCCGGCTGGTCTGCTGTCCCGCCCGGTTCGGTCCGTCTTGTCTGCTGTCCAGCCCGGTCCGATCCGTCTTGTCTGCTGTCCGGCCCGGTGCAGTCCGTCTTGTCTGCTGTCCGGTCCGGTCCGGTCCGGTCCGGTCCGTCTTGTCTGCTGTCCGGTCCGGTGCAATCCGTCTTGTCTGCTGTCCGGCCTGGCAGGCTCCGCTACGGTGTACCCTGCGTTGGCTTGTCTGTTTTGAGTCTTGCTCCCACGCACTGTCTGAGAAGCTAACGGTGCAGCCTGGAGGGTCGTTCGAGTGTGACCTGTTTATCTCGAGTACAGAATACCCGAAACCTTGTTTTTGATCATCTTTAGCGTTTTTTGGATGCTGTCAGAGCCACGAACACGCACACGCGCATACGCAAACAAATCGCATCAGTTAGATACTCTTAGTAAGATATTAGATAGTTGAAAGCGCATCAGTAACGTAACGACCTTAACTTACACATCAAACAAGTGGGCGTCCACCGTGCGTGACCTTTGCCGTCACGCCGGGTCAACGGCAGCGTTGATTAGGAAGGCGATGGGCACAGCCGCTCGCAAGAACGCCTTCGGCGTACCGAGTGGCCAGTCATAGAGCTGTTCTGAAGCATCATAGATCTTCCCACTCTGCGCCGAAATGGCTGTCTTCCGCCCATCAGCAAGAAATCGCGCCTTGACGTGACTAAATTGAGACAGCTGTTATGGCTCGACAATGGAGATAACGGTGACGAACGCAAGCATTTGTGAGATGCTACAGTCGGAACAGCCGGCGGCGCAATTCCGTTTGGAGAGTGCTCATGGCAGAAGAGTTTTAGGCTGTGCCTGTGGTCTAGACCAAACGCTGTTGGCGGAACCTCCCCACCAAAGACCACTGTGCGATCTTCGCACAGCGTGTGTTTAAAGTAGGGTCAATATTTGTTCTTGCCTTACGCGCTAACGACAGGAACCCATCAAGCATGCAAGCACGTCATCTTGTCGTGGTGAAGGAGGCAAGATACCCCTGTGTGTAACCCTATAAAAGTGTGCATACGTGGGTGTCGTGGATATTTTCTCAAGCCTGCAAGCCTTCTCTGCTGTGAGGGCGGCTTTACAATGTCACCGGGCGTTTCGTGGGGGGCGCCGCAGTCTAACGCTGACCTCCTCTACTGCAGGTCGGCTGACCAGGCCTCGCTGGAGGGCGCCGAGCGCGAGGTCGCCGACGCCTTTGCGGCGTTCCGGGACGCGGCCGTCCGCGGCGTGCAGCAGCGGGACTGCCAGCAGACCTACGCCGCCAAGTGCGCCAAAGGCCTGCGCGACTTCGTGTCGGCCGGCACCAAGTACTAGACGTCGAGTTGGCGCTCCGGCTCGGCCCGCTGCAGCTGTAACACGATAGGCGCGCGCGCGCGCGGTCGGAGACACCGCCCGGGGCAGCCGACGTCTGGGCTGCACGCCGAAGCCGAGACGCGCCGCCAGAGGCCATTGTTGGGATCCGTTGGGAGGTGAAGAGAGCTCAGCTCGCGGACCGGGTCAGCAGGTGCGGCGCCGTCAGTCGCGCGTTGTCGGCGCCGACCTGGTTTGTTAAGTAGTTTTGCTATCTGTTGCTGATGAGAGTTATATTTATATATTTATTTGAGCTGCATTCTGTTGTAAATGCTGCGTGCTGTTACGGCTAAATATACTCAGATGGATTTTCGAGGCACTGGTTTGTTTCATTTTGTAGTAACTCTGACCGCCCTTCTCAAGCTATACGTCTGCCTCTAGCCTGTCATGTACCAATAATTTTGAGTGCGCGACATTTGGCCTTTCAGCCCTGCACCAGTACAAATAAATGCATTCACTTTTTGCGTCGGGACATCGCCCTGATGTATGCAGCAAGTTCCTCCTTCGAAACGTATTTCTCATTGGTCGTTCTCTGTCTCCCAATATAGATGGACCTTGCCGGGCCCTGTTTGTGTGGGAAACGAATTTTACGGCGGTAGAATTGATTCGTCGTGCTGGCGCTTTCACCGGACAATTACTGGGCCCATCTGCACGATTTTGAGCGCCAGCTGACTACGGCGGACACTGGACGATTCCCAGTCGTACTCACGGGCGGAACAGATGCGAGTCGGCGTGAGGACTTCCCAATGGCATCACCACACCTGCTGTAGATATCACCACCATAGGAGCTATCGCCACTCTAATCAACAGGAGTACAGCCTACTGAGCTGAGCCATCGGTTCTCCAGGAATAAGTCATGCACACGTCCATTCACCACTCTCGAGGCTGCATTTTTGGGTGTGCTGTCGCACACCCTATCTATGTGAAATCCATTTTGATGGGCATGCTCTGCTTCAGGACGGGTTTGTTAATTCCTCTAGGCCTCGAGAGAACGAGAAGAGGAGGAGAAGAGAGAGGGAGAGGGAAGGAGAGAGGGGAGAGAGAGAGAGAGGAGACTGGAGGAGAGGAGAGAGAGAGAGAGAGAGAGGAGAAGAGAGAGGAGAGAGAGGAGAGAGAGAGAGGAGAAGAGAGATAGAGGAGAGGAGAGAGAGAGAGGAGACGAGAGGATGAGAAGAGAGAGAGAGAGAGAGAGAGTGAGAGAGAGATGAGGAGGAGACGAGGAGAGATGAGAAGGGAGAGAGAGAGGAGGAGAGAGAGGAAAGAGAGAGAGGGATGGAGAGAGAGAGAGATAGTATATAATACATATATATATATATATATATACAGATATAACTGATATAATAATATAGATATATATATATATATATATATATACAGAAAGCTCCATATTGCATTCAGTCACGTGTATTGCCACATGATGCATTGATTGGGTCATAGAATATCTGAGGGAAGTGCACAGCAATAAGGATGATCTTAATCAGAGCAAGCTTATTCAGTCGGTCTCATTCTGTCCATTCACCGAGTCTTTTATCTTGTAGCCATTCTTTGAGTCACACAATTTGTGCATGAAGTTACGAAGAAGCAAGAAAGAAGCGCAGGCGCCAGCCCTTCCATGAAGTCCAAGCATTCCAAACACACATTCGTTTTTCGAAGCATGCTCTGCCTTTTTTGCGTAGTTGATAAAGTTAGATTCTTGGACTTGTCATCAATTTTTAATCGTGCTTCCAAAGGAGTATTATTTGCATTGTTAGCCACTCCACATTATTTTTACAGAAAAGCGTTCAAACGGTGAGGTGAGATCGGTGCAAATTCGATCGCGAAATGACAAGTCGAAGTAGGATAGCACACTTTTTAGTTGTCAGTTTTGTGCCAGTTCAGTATAATAGTGGGTTTTTCCAACAGTATTGACAGAATAGCTAAGACGGGTCGTGACAGTTGGTTGTGGCTGGTGTCAAGCTACGCATTGATGCGGTGAACCCTACTTTCATGTCAACGAGGCGGCCAGCTTCAGCCATCTTTTGGTGGATCACCGTACAGAAAATGATTTATTGTGACAGCTTCTGAGTCAGAATGACAAAACCAGGCTGGGGCCGCCAGGCCTGAAGGAGTTTGTCGTTTTGGGACAGGCTTCCGCTTTTCCACAACGCTTTGAAAGACACGTGTTGTAAATAGCTGGATGCTGACTCGACTTCGCCACAGGCTGCTCACACAAATGCTTACGTGTAAGCACCTTTATTCAAACCTGTTGGAGCCAGTCCTTCTTCCATGAATCTAACGATAAGCCATACCAAAAGTGGTGCACATCAGCTGGTGTGTCTGGGGATGATCCGAACAGTCTCTCCGGCGCCGTGATCTTCGCTTGCTGTAAAATGGCATTTCATATTGCATAGAGCGAGCTCGTCTTCACTGGGAGAGTAGGCTGTGCCGGCTAACGCAGAATGCAACGCCGCAGGCAACGGTAGCGAGACTGGGTGATTAGCCCCTCGTACTTCGTTGCAGTTTTGTGTTAAGCGGCACAGTATGTATCATACTCGGCAGGCGGCTGCGCGGTTCCCGTTATGCTCGTAGGCTGGGGCAGCGCTGCTGCATACGTAGCTTGATTTTATTCCGTTTAATCGATTCCGATCCGAACCCACAACGCATATGGCTGATTACAGCCCTGATTCCTTTCCGAGCCCACAACGCATATGGTTGATAATAGCTCCGAATCCTTGCCGAGCCCACAACGCATATGGTTGGTTACAGCTTTGATTCCTTTCCGAGCCCACAACGCATATGGTTGATTACAGCTCTGATTGCGATCCGAGCCCACAGGGCGTATGGTTGATTACAGCTCTGATTCCGATCCGAGCCCACAGGGCATGTGGTTGATAACAGCTCTGATTCCGATCCGAACCCACAACACATATGGTTGATTATAGCCCTGATTCTGATCCGAGCCCACAACGCATATGGTTGATTACAGCCCTGATTCCTTTCTGAGCCCATGGCGCATGTGGTTGATAACAGTTTTGATTCCTTTCCGAACCCACAGTGCATATGGTTGATTACAGCTCTGATTCCGAGAGGATCAACGCAAATGTGGGTCGACTCTGCTGCTGACGCAAGAAAATAGGCCTTAATCCGGAAGGGGACGCTGATAAAAACGATTTCGCTAACAGTATTTCCGAAGGTTTTCCGCGTAATTGGCTCTGCAGATGCCAAACCCATGCGTACCCATAATAACGTGACGAGTTTGTGGGCGGGGAAACAATGTCTTGAGAAATAGCCAGGATGGCCACGAGTCACAAGTAATATAACACAATGGTATCGGCACGGACTACCACGCACTGAACAAAGTTCCACGCGATCACCATGTACATGCACTGAATCTCATTCCGACGTAGCCCTAAAATGTTACTGGGGTCATGCCACAAACTAAAAGGTTTTTGAAGACTGTGATGCCTATATTCGTGCATTTCTTGGACAATAAACATCGTAGTAGTCGTTTTAGCTATATCCGACGTAGACCACAAACGTGCTCTTTCTCATGGAGATGCAAGCTGTGACCAGCCCAATTTCTAAGGTGATGCCTCCAGGTGCCAGGTGTTGAGGTCATAGGTGCTTACAGGTTTTAAGATCACATAAGAATAATGTGCTCCATCCCCACCCACCCCCCACCCACACCCACCCACGTCTTCTGACCCACTGGCCGACAAGGAAGACGGCGAGAAGGCAGCGATGGAAAGTCGCCGTGAATCGACATCTGTCAGTGTCGGTGGGATCGGCTAGCTAAGCCATTCTGCCGACGCCGCAGCAGCTTTGGATGACAATGAAAGGCGCGGCGCCGGCTGACGGCGCCCGCCGCCTGTTGAGCAGACGGCGGATGGCGGGACAACGCTTAACGGTGCAGCCGACAACCGCGGCGCTTCGCAGCCAGTGACACGCGTGAACCGTGACATGAAAATAAACGCAAATTTCTTTTCAAGTCGCCTGGCACCAGCCACCAGCGCTGACATATTTTGGGGGACGTGTCTGGCGCGCTCAGGCCGTGATGGAGCCGGAGAAAAACTGCGCCCGAGTCTGACCGCGCCCAGGCGACGGGCGACCAAATTACCGCATGCGCACACTGCATTCCACGTCGGACTTGTTGGTAAACATACTGTGTCACGAGCGTGCTTTTGAAAGCTCCAGGGACGAATACTTCGGTAGAAAGCCGAAGTGGTGGCCCGTGACGAATGCCCAGCCAGATATGGTATCAGCTCTCCGTGCTTTAGTGCACTGGATGTATTTATATATATATACACACACATATATATATATATATATATATATATATATATATATGTGTGTGTGTATATATATATATACATATATACACATACATATATATATATATACACACACACATATATATATATATATATATATATATATATATATATATATATATATATATATATATATATATATATATATATATATATGGCAGTCATCAAATGGGACACAAAAACAAACATTTCAAGGCGTAGCCAGAAGACTTGGTGTACGTATCGGTGATCGACGAGAGCGATGTCTTGCTTTGCTGATTGGAGCCTCTGAAAACCCTCGGAGGCTCCCGCCCTCCACAGCGCCGATATGGAGCACAGCGCTGATACGGAGCGGCGCAGTGGTCCTGGCCGGTACCCGGCCTGTTACGGTGCCTGACAGCTCCGGCGTCGGCTCCCCATTGGGGTGCTCCGGCCGCATCAGATATCAGGGCGTGCGCTCCAGGAGATAGCGGGGACGGCTTCGGATAAAATCGCTGGAAACGTGGTTTGAACGGGAAGCTCGGCATTCCATAAACTGGGTCGGAGCGGGCACCCCTGAATGAACCATGATTTTACTTATTCGGAGATGCCGCCAGCTTGTGACTCCTGTTGTCTTTCTGGCCATTGGAAGGAGTTTGGAGGGCATCACATAAAGTACCTTTAAATCCATTGGAAAAATCTAAAAATGGTTGACATTCATTTACATATCAGCCTTGCATGGGAGTCATGTGAAATTATTACACATCCCTACATGACTGAGGTAAACAGGTTGGAGTGGAATGAAGGAAAATAGGATAGAACTTCTGAAATGGAACCGGGAGGGGCATTCCAGCAACTGACAACTGAAATTTAGTGAGTGATTGCAGTCTTTGTCATGCTGTAGAGACGCACATACCTTTCTCCTTTCCTGATTTTCCTCGAAGCGTTTTCACAAACAGGTGGCAGATTGTCTGAAATGAAATATGGCTTGATCTACATTAACCTGCAACGCAGTGACCAAGCAACGCACAACCATCGAGCAGCTCATTCA